CAAATGCACCCACAATAGGCTACATTTTATGTTTGTTTTTTAGTAAAATGATCAAAATCGCACACTTTTAACAGTGTTTTTTTGGACTGTTGGAGAGCTCATTCAGAGAAAATACTTTTGCAAAGCTGAGCAAAGATTCAATTCAATTCAATTCAAGTTTATTTATATAGCGCCAAATCACGACAAGAGTCGTCTCAAGGGACTTCACATAATAAACATTCCAATTCACAGTTCATTAAGCCAATCAGAAATAATGTTTCCTATATAAGGAACCCAGCAAATTGCATCAAGTCACTGACTAGTGTCAGTGGCTATACAGCAATCCTCATACTAAGCAAGCATGCAGCGACAGTGGAGAGGAAAACTCCCTTTTAACAGGAAGAAACCTCCAGAGAATCCTGGCTCAGTATAAGCAGCCATCCTCCACGACTCACTGGGGATGGAGAAGACAGAACACACACACACACACACACACACACACACACACACACACACACACACACACACACACACACACACACACACACACACACACACACACACACACACACACACACACACACACACACACAAGTAATGTGTCTATAGTTATATTGTGATGTCTTAGTAAATATTGTATTTGGTGAAAGATAAACTTTATTGTATTTATCCTAGTGGATCTATAATTAAACGGATAAACTAGTAGTAGCACATCAAAAGTCAATGAAAACAAAAAGTTATTATCAGGAGAGAGAGAATGTATTAGTGGTTAGCAGCAGTGTGCTAGTCGATGGCCCCCTCCATGAGGCCACCACAGCTCAGCAGAACATCGTTGTAGCTTCTTCTGGGGAGAAAAACACTTAGAGAGAAAATAAAGTTAACAGATGAAATTGCACAAAATAGTACAGTTAAAGAGCAGACTGTAGAAGAAAGTAGTAGAGTGTGAAAAGTGGTCAGTGTGTCCTCCAGCAGTCTAAGCCTATAGCAGCATAACTACAGAGTTAACTCAGGATAATCTATCCTATTTAGATGTAGGCATGTTGGAGGCAGGGCAAGGGAGAGCCGTCTTTACCGACTGTACACTCCACCTCCCTGTAATCCCCCACTTGTCCAGATTTAGGCTAACATCAGATTTTAACCATAGGCCCTATCAAATAAAAATGTTTTAAGCCTATTCTTAAAAGTAGACAAAGTGTCTGCCTCACGGACTAAAGCTGGGAGCTGGTTCCACAGGAGAGGAGCCTGATAACTAAAAGATCTGCCTCCCATCCTAATTTTAGATATTCTTGGAACCACCAGTAGACCTGCAGTCTGAGAGCGAAGTGCTCGGTTAGGAACGTATGGAACAATCAGATCACTGATGTATGATGGAGCTTGATTATTAAGAGCTTTATATGTGAGAAGAAGGATCTTAAAATCTATTCTGAATTTAACAGGTAGCCAATGTAGGGAAGCTAAGACAGGAGAGATATGATCTCTCTTTTTAATTCTCATCAGAACTCTAGCTGCAGCATTTTGGACAAGCTGAAGACTTTTAACTACATTCTGTGGACTTCCTGAGAGTAATGAATTACAGTAATCCAGTCTTGATGTAATAAATGCATGAACTAGTTTTTCAGCATCACTCCTGGGAAGTATGCTTCTAAACTTAGCAATATTCCGAAGGTGGAAAAAGGAAATTCGACAAACTTGTGAAACCTGGGATTTGAATGACATGTCCTGGTCAAAGATAACACCAAGGTTCCTTGCTTTGTTCTCGGAGATTAATGTAATGCCATTAAGATCAGGCGATTGGCTAAGCAATTTCCTTTTCTGGATTTCTGGTCCAAAGATGAGAACTTCCGTCTTGTCTTGATTTAAAAGCAAGAAGTTAAGAGTCATCCAATTTTTTATGTCCTCAAGACAAGCCTGTAATCTACCCAACCGATTAGGTTCATCAGGGTTAATGGATAAATATAACTGAGTATCGTCAGCATAACAGTGGAAGTTTATCCCATGCTGTCTAATGATTTCACCAATTGGGAGCATATATATAGTAAAAAGAATTGGTCCAAGCACTGAACCCTGTGGTACTTCGCAAGTAACCCTGGAGTATGAAGATTTGTCATGTACATTTACAAAATGAAATCTGTCAGACAGGTAGGATTTAAACCAGCCTAACGCTGTTCCTTTGATCCCTACAACATGTTCAAGTCTTTCTAAAAGAACATTGTGATCAACTGTGTCAAAGGCAGCACTGAGATCTAACAAGACTAGAACAGACACAAGATTCTTATCTGAGGCCATGAGAATATCATTTGTAACTCTCACTAATGCAGTTTCAGTGCTGTGATACTCTCTAAAACCAGACTGAAATTCCTCAAACAGAGCATTAGTGTTTAAATGCTGACATACTTGGATGGCCACTATTTTCTCCAGGACTTTGGATAAAAATGGAAGGTTAGATATTGGTCTATAATTCATTGTGTCATCTGGATCCAGAGAAGGCTTCTTAAGTGAAGGTTTGATTACAGCAACCTTAAAATCTTGTGGTACATACCCATTTACTAAGGATAGATTGATTATATCTAGAATGGGGGCAGTAACCAAAGGAAATGCATCTTTAAATAATTTGGTTGGGATTGGATCCAAAATGCAAGTTGAAGGTTTAGATGAAGCTAATATTTTTGATAACTCTGAAAGCTCAACTGGATCAAAACGGTTCAAGCACAGATGAGGTTCTACAGTCACCTCTGATGCTGCCTCACTTACTGAGGAAGAAGAAATCACATTAGGGAGGATGCTAAAGATTTTGTTTCCAATAGAATTAATTTTACTTGTAAAAAATCCCATGAAGTCATTGCTGCTGAGGGCTAAGGGAATAGATGGCTCAGAGCTATGATTCTGTGTAAGTTTAGCAACTGCACTGAAAAGCAATTTAGGATTATGCTTATTCTCCTCAATTAATGCTGAAAAATAAGCAGTTCTAGTTTGTTGAAGCTTATTTTTATAAAGCAAAAGACTATTTTTCCAGGACAGGTAGGCCTCCTCATGGTGCGTAGAGCGCCATGTTCTCTCCAATTTCCTAGAGTTTTGTTTTAAGGCTCGTAGATGAGAGTTAAACCAGGGAGCCAACTTCCTGTCCCTAATTACCTTCTTTTTTAAAGGGGCAACATCATCTAATGCCACACGTAAAGAGGAATTCACATGATGAACTAAGGCATCAATTTGTGAGGGGCTAGAACTGAAAATATTGCCCTCTGCTACGTTCCTCTGAGATGCTGAGGACAGTAAAGATGGAACAGTTGATTTAAAAGACGCAACTGCGTTGTCAGATAGAGACCGACTATAGTGAAATTTACTTTCATGTCTCGAGAACTCAGTTATAAAAAACTCAAAGGTTATCAGAAAGTGGTCCGAGAGGACTGGATTATGTGGAAAGATTGTTATTTCCTCACACTCAATGCCATAAGTCAGCACAAGGTCCAATGTATGATGGCAGGAGTGGGTGGAGCTATGTATTCTTTGAGTAAAACCAATTGAATCTAAGATATTACTAAAGGCTACATTGAGGCAATCATTTTCGATGTCCACATGAATGTTGAAATCCCCCACTACAATGACCTTATCAGTATTTAGCACCAAATCAGATAAAAAATCAGAGATCTGATCCAAAAACTCAGAGTAAGGGCCTGGTGGACGATATAAAACTACAAACAAGAGTGGTTTTACTGTTTTGCAATCTGGATTAGGAAAACTAAGAATAAGATGTTCAAACAAACTGTAGCTATTAATGTGATGTGATAATAGTTTTCAATACTTTCTAAGGGTCTTTATTTGACCACAACTGATTTATCACATTTTAAGACTTTTCAAGACCCAGCGGGATACCCTGTAATAAACAATTCTCATTTGTAAACAAAAATAAAATTGAACAGTTTAATACAGAACTGATTTTATTTAGATATTTTTATTAAATACACGTGTTTAATCTTTATTAACCATTTTTTCTAGCAAACTAAAAAGCCTGTCAAAAGTCTCCCTTCTCTCCTGTGCCCTCTGCTGCTCTGCCTCCCTCTGCAGCCTCATGTCCTCCCTGATCAGCTCCAGAAGCTGGTCATCGCTGTCCCTTCTCCTTTTTCTTCCTCCTGGCTGACCATCTTCATCCTCACTCTCCTCCCTAACCTCATCCATGAGGTCAAACCAGGGCCAAGTAGCAGCAGTGGGCTTCCCACTAACCCCTTCTCCTGACCCTGGATACTTGCAATCCTAGATTTAAAAAATATATATAATTATGTCAGTTTACACAAATACCTACAAATCTGTTTAAGCATTTTAGATTTAGCATGTATACATGATATTTTTCCCACACACATCTACATACTTTATATTTTTTCTTTAAATTATCCCATTTTTTTTTAGCCTGGATGGGGGTCACCTTCTCCTGGACGCCCATTTTCTCCAGAACAGTCCTAACAAACATGTAAGGAAAAAAAAAAACAGGAAGAGAAAAGAGGACAACGGGTTATTCATTCATGTTTTCGCAGAAAAAACTAAACTCAAACGAGTTTTAAAAAGATGAGGCGTTATTGTACCTCCATGCCGAACACTCTGCTCCAGTGAACACGTGGTCCATCTCCGCCCTAAGCTTGATAAAGTCCCTGGTTTTCTCTTTTGTCCCTAAAATACAAACTTCTATTAAAATCAGGGGGAAACGTAGCGGGAGAAGTAAGACACCGAGCGGCCGAACATACGAGCCGAGACCGCATTACAAGCACTTTTACCGTAACATTTCACACTAAAATAACGTTCATGTATCACAAAAAGCCCTTAACCTAACAGTTTTCAAGTTTATGCTGACATTTATATGCGCAATCCTCTCCGACAGCTCCCGCTTCACTGTCCGCCATTGTTTTTAAAAAATCAGCCGTCCGACCCGCAATGCATCTTGGGAAATGTAAACCACTGAACGATACATCCTTCATCCAGGCGAGGAGTCGTCAGTTCAGACCTGTCCTACACATTCAGTACGCTAGGGGGCAACAATACACATTCTGTTGTCATGGTGGTCAACAAAGATGTAGAGGAAGAGGGACAAACAGGAAATAGTGAAAAACAACCCCCCAAAAACCTCAGGTAACAACACTTAACGCTGACCCTACCCTAAAGGAACCAGACGGGTTAAATATGGCTGCAGACAACGATGTAAGATTATTTCTTAATAAACTCATAAAGTGTTTAGAAAGAGAAATTTCTCCACGCGGACGTGTTAAATCGGCCTAACTCTTTCTCTCTCTAGCAGCTCGAGTCAGAGGTGTTTGAGATAACCGACTTCACCACCGCGTCCGAATGGGAACGGTAAGAACCAAACCGAATAGTCAGTTCAGGTGTCATGCCAAGAAGAGCACCCCTAGCCCCGGTTAGCATGTCTCTTTATGTCCTGTCGCGGGAGCGCGCACAGTGCTGTGCATTCGCATATTGAGGAATGAAACGACACAAACATGAGCGGCAAGGCTACTCTTAAAGTTTGGGTTTGGGTTAGGAACCTTTTCATTCCTATGTAGACGTCATCAATGACATACATGACCCGAGGACGCTCTCCCTCTGAGCTGGACTCTGTCTTTTCAGGTTTGTGTCCAGGGTGGAGGAGGTGCTGACTGGCTGGAAGCTGACTGCAGAAAAGGTGATCTGGTCTTGTTATATTGAAGGAATGAGTGTTGCTTCTGCACCGTGATGAATTCTCACGCTGTCATGTGAAACAGGCTAAATCCACCACCAGGGGCACTTGGGAGGAGGAGTCTGAGGAAATTCACTTTGCTGACTTCAGATTCCACATCACACACTGCTTTCTGAAACAAGAAAGCGAGGAAGACGATTTAACCGACAGGAATGAAGAAGGTACGGTTATTTTAAAATGCACTTGGGACATCGTGTGTTCAGTAAGGTCTGGTGTATTCAGTAGATTTAAAGCATTTCCTCCACACTTTGGTCCAACTCATTCCTAATTGGGTTGGCCCAGCTGATGGCAGGACCCTCATTCAACAACATTACTCACACACAGATCTGTGTGTATGTTGTGCATAGGATAAATTTTATGTATTGTTTGATATTTATCATTTTTTACTTGTGCAAAGAACGTCTGACCATGATCACTACTTAGTGGTAGAACAGAGGAACCGCAATACTGAAGGTCTCAGTCATCCACTCATTTTCCTCGTCCACAAATTAGTCAAACAATAAGTAAATATGTCAGTGGAAAAGCAGCTTTATCGAGTAACTGGTGTAGTGATGCATGGTGTAACCAGTACATGGTTGGTATTGTACTGTAAAAAACCTTGCTTTACCAGTGGTGTTGGTGGGTGAGGGAAGACTTCAATAAATGTGAGAGTCCAGCAGTACCAAACATGGCTAACTTTATTAAGTTACGGTTTAAAGTGACTGTGTGTATTTTCCCTGGCAATAGGGGGCAGTACACAAATCACTGCAAGCAAGCAATATTTTTGTGTTCAAGTAAGTCCTTACCAACAGATGGCCTTTAGGGTGAAAAATCTCTGGGAGTGCAACCTCCAGCGAAATAACGAGCACATCAGACTCCCTTTCATCACTGGCAGCAGGTGAAGAGGTAAATGTGTAAAATAACATTTATTAATGCTAGTTTGTAACCATTTTTTACAAATCAGTACATGCATTTTGTCCTCACGGGCTTCCGTAGAAGGAAACATGGCATTGAATATGGCGTCGCCCAGAGTCATAGACCCACTTCCATGTATTTTACAACATACTTTAATGGTTGTATGTTATGAAACTGGCAATAACTGGGCATCATTTATTTAGTTTCCAACATTTCGACTAGGCTTGGGAGGTATTACGGTATTACGGTACACAGCCGGTGTTAACAAATAGCATTGGTGTCAGTTCCAACACCGTCATAAAAAACGGTGCAGTAGGAGATCAGGATTAACAAATAAGTAAAAAGATACAGATGTGTGAATTTTCTGTTTTACTTAAATAGTTTTATTTATTCTGTCCAAATTTTTGATATGTTCAATAAAATTCATGACTGTGATGTCATCACCTGACAGCGCGGAAAAGACGCGCCGACAGAGACGGTGAGAAAAATGGCAGCCCGTGCACCTGCTGACTGAGTGTCTAAAAGAACCCAACTTCTGCAGTTTGGTAGTATTTCAGATTTGAAGCAAACTTAAACGAGAGCTGGCACACACTGATGAGCTAATTTGTGCAAACAAAAGAGGACAGTGAAAGATGCAGGTCCCGTTGGAGCCGACGGTCAGAACAGCAGAGGAGCGAGCCGTAGCTGAGATACGAGCCTTGTTTGGCGCCTGATATTAAAAACACACTTTTCTAGTGGAAATATGCATCCAGCCTTCCCCAGACGTGTGTCTGAGCCACAACTCATCGAAGCAGGTTTTCAGCACTGAGGCAAAGCAGTCGGCCCACAACAACGAGCTCAACATGCAGGTTTTCAGGCAAAAACATCTTTTCATAAGCTGCGGTTTTTTCAAGTTTAGTCGAGCAATAAACAAACATACGAACATACAGTGGGGCAAAAAAGTATTTAGTCAGCCACCGATTGTGCAAGTTCTCCCACTTAAAATGATGACAGAGGTCAGTAATTTACATCATAGGTACACTTCAACTGTGAGAGACAGAATGTGAAAAAAAATCCATGAGTTCACATGGCAGGATTTTTAAAGAATTTATTTGTAAATCAGGGTGGGAAAATAAGTATTTGGTCACTTCAAACAAGGAAAATCTCTGGCTCTCACAGACCTGTAACGTCTTCTTTAAGAAGCTTTTCTGTCCTCCACTCGTTACCTGTATTAATGGCACCTGTTTGAACTCATTATCTGTATAAAAGACACCTGTCCACAGCCTCAAACAGACAGACTCCAAACTCCACTATGGCCAAGACCAAAGAGCTTTCGAAGGACACCAGGAAAAGAATTGTAGACCTGCACCAGACTGGGAAGAGTGAATCTACAATAGGCAAGCAGCTTGGTGTGAAAAAAATCAACTGTGTAAGCAATTATCAGAAAATGGAAGACATACAAGACCACTGATAATCTCCCTCGATCTGGGGCTCCACGCAAGATCTCATCCCGTGGGGTCAAAATGATCATGAGAATGGGATCAAGAATCCCAGAACCACACGGGGGGGCCTGGTGAATGACCTGCAGAGAGCTGGGACCACAGTAACAAAGGTCACCATCAGTAACACACTACAACGGCAGGGAATCAAATCCTGCAGTGCCAGACGTGTTCCGCTGCTGAAGCCAGTGCATGTCCAGGCCCGTCTGAAGTTTGCCAGAGAGCACATGGATGATACAGCAGAGGATTGGGAGAATGTCATGTGGTCAGATGAAACCAAAGTAGAACTTTTTGGTATAAACTCAACTCGTCGTGTTTGGAGGAAGAAGAATACTGAGTTGCATCCCAAGAAGACCATACCTACTGTGAAGCATGGGGGTGGGAACATCATGCTTTGGTGCTGTTTTTCTGCTAAGGGGACAGGACGACTGATCCGTGTTAAGGACAGAATGAATGGGGCCATGTATCGTGAGATTCTGAGCCAAAACCTCCTTCCATCAGTGAGAGCTTTGAAGATGAAACGTGGCTGGGTCTTCCAACACGACAATGATCCCAAACACACCGCCCGGGCAACAAAGGAGTGGCTCTGGAAGAAGCATTTGAAAGTCCTGGAGTGGCCTAGCCAGTCTCCAGACCTCAACCCCATAGAAAATCTGTGGAGGGAGTTGAAAGTCCGTGTTGCTCAGCGACAGCCCCAAAACATCACTGCTCTCGAGAAGATCTGCATGGAGGAATGGGCCAAAATACCAGCTACTGTGTGTGCAAACCTGGTAAAGACCTATAGTAATCGTTTGACCTCTGTTATTGCCAACAAAGGTTATGTTACAAAGTACTGAGTTGAATTTTTGTTATTGACCAAATACTTATTTTCCACCCTGATTTACAAATAAATTCTTTAAAAATCCTGCCATGTGAATTCATGGATTTTTTTTCACATTCTGTCTCTCACAGTTGAAGTGTACCTATGATGTAAATTACTGACCTCTGTCATCATTTTAAGTGGGAGAACTTGCACAATCGGTGGCTGACTAAATTATTTTTTTGCCCCACTGTAATCAAAATAAAAAAAGGAAGGGTCTCCAACCCTCCTCAAGCTTGCTGCAGGAGCCAGCTTTGCACAGATGTAGCAATTCCAGTTGAGTACCACAGAGCATCTCTATGAGCCAAGGTCTAAAGGAAGGTGGGGTTGTGGATTTCCACTTTAGAAGGATGAGTTTTTTACCCACAACCATCCCTAACTGTAGAGCGGCTCACATGTGCTGTCGCAGCTGAGGAGCCTGTGGAAGACATCCAAGAATTGCCGGGGGGGGGGGGGGGGGGCAGTGGGTTGAATTTTTCTATCATATACATCTGAAAAACATGTAAAGATCGCAGAATGAAGGACAGTACCAGAATAAATACATGTGCTTCTGCTATATGAAACCTGTCACACAGCAGCCTAAGTCGAGAGGCCCAGACTTCCCTCTCCCCAGCCACTTGTGCCAGCTCTTCCAGGGGAATCCCAAAACGTTCGCTGGCCAGGTGAGAGACATAGTCCCTCCACCGTGTCCTGGGTCTCCCTTTACGCCTCCTGGTTGGACGTGCCCGGAATACCTCACCAGGGAAGGCGTCCAGGAGGCATCCTGACCAGATGCCCGAGCCACTTCATGGGTGGGAGTTTTGTATTTGTAAAGCTGTCCTGAATCGTTCTCAACTGATAAAGAGCTCAGTTCATCCTGAAACGCTTTATAAAACTCCAGCCCAAACCCATCTGGACCCGGTGACTTACTGCTGGGGAATGATTTAATGGCCTCTTAGTTCAAAAAGTGTAAAATCAGATTCCAAATTCTCTGTTGAAGTTGAGCAGTACTCACGTGTGAGTAGAAGGAATTATCCCGATCACATGGGTGTAGCAATCTCCAGATGTCAACTGCTTTCTGTGATTTCATTAGATTATTGATAGTTTGAACGGATGTAATATGTGGAGGGGAGGCCGAAGATTGCCTGTCCAAAAAAGGATAGATATTGACTAATGTAATGGGAAGTGAGTTAATTTGCCCAGATTTGATTGTGAACCTGCCATTTGGGTCAATTTTGGAGGAACTAAGACAAAAAGGCACGGTTTTACAGAAGAGTAGCAACATCCTTGGCTTTAGGTGGAAAGTGTGACTGATAGGTTTGCAAAATCCAATTAGCTCTTAATATCCTAGCTGTGTATCTGAAAGATGACTCTCCTGGAGAAACATTATGTTCGCTTCCAATGATTTCAAATATGAAAGGACTTTGCCACATTTGATTTGGCTATTCAGACCACGAACATGCCGAGAAACCAGGGACAGGGAGTCCAAGGTGCTGTTTGAGTTAGAATTTGTCTGTATTATGACACAAAGGTTAAACATTCAGTCTCACAACCCAAAATAGGGGGAAGAAGAAAAAAACCCAGACACCTAAAGCTTACAGAAAAAAGATGAATGGAATCCGTCCACAAAACAAATCCCACCCAGTGCTTCCCCAAAAGAAGCAGGGTTACTCTCAACCGGGCAAATAGTGCAACACCACCTCCTTTTAAAAGCTTATCTTAGGCAAAAGTTTTAATAGAACATTTTAAACAGAAACTGCCTGCATGACCGTCTAATCAAATCCTATCACACTCAACTTCTGTCGCGGGACAAAAGGTCACACCACTAAAGGTTTTCAGTAATGAAAGTCTTAGCTTCCCCTGGGTTGTTAAACAACTTAACTTGTCCCCGGTGGTAAACGTGAAGCTTGGCCAGAAACCTGAGTGTGTGGCGAATCTCATTCTCCCTCAG